CCCTTCCAGACTGTAATGTTAAAAATATCAGCCTCACCATGTTTGAGATACTTTTTCCTGCACATATTAGCCCATAGACCATTGTCCTTATTCAGTAACCTCCAACCTGATTTAGCAAGAAGGGCCCTATTCATTTGATTTGCTTTTTTAATGCCAAGACCCCTTTTAATCATGGGAACTTTAACGAAAAGCACCCGGTACTGTTCACTTTAACGAAAAACCACATTTTTACACTAAAAAGTCATTCCTGGTACTATTCACTTTACCCTTTATTTTGTCCTTATCATTAAAACTCAAAGTTTTCAAGCCATTTTCATTAGTTTTGCTTTTAATCATAGGACAACAAACTTTATTCTAACTCACTAGGTGAGGTTTGGCTCTATCACCCACATTACCCCAAAGAAAGTTTCTATTGATTTTATCAAGAGAATCATAAATATTGATAGGAATGCTAGCAGTTTGCATAGTATAGACCGGTATGGCAGAAGCAACATGCTTAAATAGTATCTTAACTAGGTGCAAATGATAACAAAAATTAATCCGCATTCAAAATCTATTATAACGACAATTATATTGTCTATTAAAGTTACTAAATTCTTGTGGATAGAAATTTGGCAAAGTAGGAATTGACTGGAGAACTTGCAAATAAAAAAATAATAAAAAAATAAAAGAAAAAACCCGTATGATCAGTTGACAAAATCCCCCTGCTGTTTGCCCAATGGCCTCACCTAATAAAGTGTTCCAGAGAAATTGAATAGTAGAAGAGGGTTCTGAGTTCAGTTGGACCCTTTTTTTTTTTTTCGTCAAAAGATAGATTTTTGTTAGATTAGTTACCGACTGGGTTCGAACCTACGCCGTCATGCAAAGACTTAACTCATTTCCACCACTATAGTAAAAGGCCAGCTGGACCCTTACCAATCGCTTTTTGTGAGTTTGGTGAGTTGGATATTTATTAGGAAGAAAATCATTTGGTCATCTGTAGCAGGTCAGTGCTTGGCAGGCCAACTGGTGTAGCAGTCGGACTAAGATTCTCTCCCCTCCTCTTTCCATCCCCTTCCATTTCCTCCTCTCACATTCTCTATTTTGTCTTTCTCTTTCTATAAAAAAATTAATATAAGATGTTGACGTGGTTTAACCATGACCGTTCAAATAAGAGGGGAGGGAAGGGTGTAGACAAGTATATGTATAAGGATCGATTACAGCTAAACCAATATGACAGTGCTTAAAACGATAATCAAAACTATGCATGACCATATTAAATGCAGTATATGCATGATTAGAGTTTGTGACAGTATAAGAAATATATTTACTTGGAGTGGAAGACAGTGAAGCCATGATCTTGTCTTCCCTTCTCTTGGATTCAGAAATAGTATCTCAATACTCTCAATAGGACTGGTATTCGATATGTGAAAAAGTAGTACCCGAGAAGAGAGACCAAAATCGACTTTATATGCTGCAATTGTATCTCCCTATCAGAGATGCAGTTGCTGTCAGATTGTGTAGGTTACAACTGCCTTTTATTTGAATTGATAACCACCTTTAGTTTTCCCTCTAATATAGAATTAATCCGGTGTAATTCATATAATTGAGTCCTTACATAGTACAACCCTTTCACTTGTATATCTGCACTGTGGTTTAAATGACACTCACATATAAGTCATTCTTACATTCTCCCACATGAGTGAGATTAAACCATCATTCTTAATTGTAAAATATAAAAGTGAAATGTGATCACAGATAGTATAAATTAAGTGACTTTTACAACCATATACTGCGAGTTCATCTGTCGAGTTTTAAGGCTACACAACATTGAATACAATGTTTATACCTCAAAACCACAAACTGATTAAGCTCCAGCACATTCTTGTTGTAGCCGAGAGAATAAAAGATTTTGGGACTTAATTGCTTGTAAATCAAGCACTCCCACATTTCTTTTGGTCACAAGATACTGCAGATATCTTAATTGCTTTAAACATTTGCAATTGCATTAATCATCATTAACATAACATATGAATTCATATTAAGCATTACTCACAGCTTTTGCAACTTAAATACATACTTGTGCAGATTACTCCGACTGCAATCCCATTCTTAATACATGCTTGTTGAAGACTGTAACATTTAATGCTTTTGTCAATGGATCTGCGACCATGTCATGTGTACTGATATGTTGTATATCAATCATAGCCTCTCTGACTTTATCTTGAACTTTCAAGTATTTAATATCCATAAGCCTTGATGCCTCTGATCTCTTGTTGTTTTTAGCAAAGAATACTGCAAATGTATTATCACAGTAAAGCTTGATTGGCCTTTCAATGCTTCTCACAATCTTCATCTCATAAATTAAGTTTTTCATCCAGTTACACTGTTTCATTGCCTTAAAACAGCCAATATATTCAGACTCCATAGTAGATACTGCCCTTGTAGTTTGTTTCTTGTTCCTCCATGAGACAGCACCACCACACAGTACGAAAATGTATCCATTTGTAGACATTCTATCATCAATGCATCCACCTAAGTCAGCATCAGTGTAGCATACCAATTCCAAGTCGTCTACATGGTGATAACACAACACATATGACTGAGTTCTTTTCATGTATCTCAACACCTTCTTACCTGCATTCCAGTGAGCCAATCCTGGATTCGATTGAAACCTTCCTAAGACACTTAACACAAAAGACAAATCAGGCATTGTACATACTTGAGCATACATCACACTGCCAATTAAAGAAGCATAAGGCTTGTCCTTCATTGCTTGCACTTTATAGTCAGTAATGGGGCACTGAGATAAAGACAATTTGTCACCCTTGCCAAGTGGTATATCTCCTCCACTGCAATTCTCCATATTGAACCTTTTGAGAACCTTATCAACATAAGCTTTCTGTGACAACCCTAACCATCTCTTGGATCTGTCCCTAGTAATCTCAATGCCTAAAACATAGTGTGCTGCACCCAAATCCTTCATGTCAAAGCTACTTGACAACATATTTTTGGTTTCTTCAAGTAAAATAACATTTGAACTAGCAAGTAAAATGTCATCCACATAAAGAACCATAAAAATAAAATTAGACTTCACCATTTTGAAGTAGATACAATTGTCAATTTTGTTCTCCACAAAGCCAAAAGCTGCTACAACTTGATCAAACTTTTTGTACCATTGTCTAAAGGCCTGTTTGAGTCCATATATTGACTTGTTAAGCTTACAAACCATATCTTCCTTCCCCCTTTCAATGAATCCGATTGGCTGTTGCATGTATATTTCTTCATCAAGACTACCATTTAGAAGAGCTGTTTTGACATCCATCTGGTGTAATTCAAGATTGAAATGTGCAGTGAGTGCCATGATCACTCGAAAAGAATCTTTTGTGGAAACTGGAGAAAAAGTTTCATTGTAGTCTGGACCCTCATTTTGAGTAAAACCCTTTGCCACTAACCTTGCCATGTATCTCTCAATTTGTCCCCGAGAATCCCTCTTGGTTTTATACACCCATTTACAACCAATGGATTGTACATTGTCTGGAGGCAAAACTAAAGTCCAAACATTATTCTTGTACATGGAGTCTAGTTCATCTTCCATTGCAGCTTGCCAACTTGAGGACTTAGAACTTTCCATAGCTGCTTTGTAAGTAGTTGGATCATCATGATCACCAATGTCAAACTCTACTTCCTGCAAATAACATAAGTAATCACTAGGAATGGCAGATCTCTTAGGCCTACTGGATTTCCTTGGTTGAACTATAGGGGGTGATAACACGGGAACTGAAGTGGATGCAGTAGGCTGCTGAGATGAATCTGCAACAATCGTTGAATTTGAAACTGCATTTGTTGGCGACAAAGGTAAAGATGTAATGTTATTTGGCTGGGAAGTTACAAGTGGCACAGGTATGAGAATCTTAGTATTTGCTTGTTCAATGATCTGTGATGCATCATTTATCTTCAAATTCATAAGAATTCCCAGAATGGGAATGCAAAGCTCCACAATCTTCAAGAAACTTGGCATTGTTGCTCTCCACTATTCTGGTGAATGAATAAGGACAGTAAAACCTGAAGCCTTTGGATTTTTCTGCATAACCCACAAAATAACAACTAGTGGTCCTCATGTCTAATTTCTTTTCATTGGGATTATAGAGTCTAGATTCACACCTACAACCCCAAGTATGAAAGTGAGATAGACTAGGTTTTCTTCCTGTCCATCTTTCGAATGGTGTGGATGCAACAGCTTTAGTTGGTACGCGATTTAAAATGTAAGTTGCTGTTTTAATTGCTTCTCCCCAAAGAAATTCTTGCATTTGTGAATAAGAAAGCATACTCCTCACCATCTCCTTCAAGGTTCGGTTTCTTCGTTCTGCAACACCATTTTGTGATGGTGTACCAGGAGTTGTATATTGAGCTGCAATTCCTTCTTGTTCCAGAAAAAGGGCAAATGGTCCATTTTGTTGTCCTTTCTCTGTGTACCTTCCATAATATTCACCTCCACGATCGGACCTTACAACTTTAATTGATTTTCCCAATTGTTTTTCAACCTCTAACTTAAAATTTTTAAAACAAGTCAAAACTTGAGATTTTTTAGAGATAAAAAATATATAAGTGTATCTAGAAAAATCATCTATGAAAAGAACAAAGTATGAATTCCCACAAATGGTTTTTGTTGGAAATGGTCCACATACATCAGTGTGTATAATCTCTAGGAGATCATTACTTCTTGTTGCTGTCTTTTTGCTTGTTGAGTTTGTGGTTTTGCCCTTAATGCAGTTAATACATTCTGCAAATTCATTAAGGTTTAATTTTGGCAAAATACCATCCTTGATTAAACTCATTATCCTTTCTTTCGAGATATGACCAAGTCTTTGATGCCAAAGCATATAAGATTGGTCATCAAAGGACACACGTTTTGAGGCTGAATGTTCTATATTAAAACATTCTTGATGGTAAGAACATTGAACTTGCCAAAGATCACCATTGGGAAATGCATAACCAATAAGATTGTCAAACTGATTCTTGAAATAAAATTTAATTTGATTAACATCCCCTACAAATGAAAAACCATCCTTGACAAATTGAATTACAGAAAATAAGTTCCTTCTCATGGAAGGAACATAAAGTACATTACTTAAATTTAAAACATAACCAGTTGACAATCTCAGTTTGACAGAACCAACAGACTCAACTGCAACTTTATTCCCATTTCCAACATAAACATTGTAGATCTCCTTACTTGTTCTCTTCTGGCTTTGAAATCCCTGCAAAGAATTTGTTATATGTATTGAACAACCTGTGTCAAACCACCAAGAGTTTTGAGGAATAAAAACCATATTTGATTCTACTGTCACAAAAACATTTATTATTTTGTTACCTTTCTTGATTAACCAAGCTTTAAAACCAGGACAATCCTTTCTTAAGTGATCCTCAGAATGACAAAAATGACATCTTTTGACACCATTGTTATTATTCTTAGGTCCAGAAGCAATGGAGGTAGCATGAGCTTTTGCAGGTATCACAGTAGACTTGAACTGTTTCTTGGAACCATAAGTTGTTCCAGCAGTGGGCATAGACTTCTTGAATGCAATTGGCTTCTTTCCCTTGTAATTCTCATTTATGTGAACTGTAGTAATCTTCCCTTGCCTTTTCCAGCACTTACTGGGTTGGCAAAGTCACTAGTCTTAGCCCTCATCTTCTTCAGTCTTTCCTCTTCTTGACAGCAAATAGCAATTAACTCATTAATACTCCAAATCTCCTTCTGTGTGTTATAACTCACTTTCAGTTGCTCATAATCATTGGACAAAGAGTACAGTGCCATGTGCACAAGAAATTGATCTGTTATTTCAATATCCATTGCATTTAACTTGTTTGCAATGTTGACCAATTTTAACAAATGCTCACGAATGCTTCCAGAACCATCATGTTTTGTGTTAATGAGTGCTGACAAACATGCACCAGTTTCAGCCTTGTCTGACCTTTTAAATTTCTCTTCAACTCTGTCCATGTAATTCTTAGCCAAATCACAACTAGAAATTCCTCCCCTGATGTGTTCCTCCATTGAATTCTGCATGATAAGTAAGGACATTTGATTTGCCCTATCCCATCTCACAAAGAATTCTCTTTCTTGTGCAGTACTCTGATCTGTCAATGCAGAAGGTTGAGGAGCCTTGAATGCAATGTTAAACTCCAACATACCAAGATTCATTTCAATCTGCTGCTTCCATGCCTTGAAATTATTGCCATTCAATTTCTCTACATTAACCAAACTCATCATATTGAAACCTGCTTCAAATTTGGAGAATTTTGTAAATCTATGACCAAGAAATAATTACAGAATTTTCTTGCCATACTTAAACTATAGACTCAGTCACACCTTTGGGCAAGAAACTGTCCATATACATGAATAAGTTCCAAATGTTGCATAGCCAAGTCATTGACTACAAAAACTATCCTTATAACAGTACCTTTGGGCAAGTTAGAGCACAAAGATAGATTGTAATCCATTACTCACTATACACTGATTATACAAATGAACCCAGTAAAGTCACTCCTTTGGAAGCATTTTACTTGTTAATATTTGTAAATCGCACTTTCTGCATTATTCTTCAAGTTCTGAAAATTATCTAGCCCTACACTTTAGTGTTATACTAGACTCATCTCAGAGTGTTTCCTTCTGTCATGAATGCAACATCAATTACATTTAAGTAATGATTCATTAGTGTGCTCATTTGCAATTCAGACCTTTTATTGCATAAATCGTTAAGCATATACACATATATGTATGTCGAAATGATACGAAGCAAGTTAATAACTTATTGAAATAACAGAGATACAAACAATGCAATTCACAAAATTCGAATTTCATGCACTGATATAATATTGCATGCTGATACCAAAATTGAGCACTGTCATGCACAGCGGAAAAATATAGCCATTCTTTATCCAAAAAGAGGTTTCAGTTGTGTGGCTCTGATACCACAGTGCTTAAAACGATAATCAAAACTATGCATGACCATATTAAATGCAGTATGTGCATGATTAGAGTTTGTGACAGTAAGAAATATATTTACTTGGAGTGGAAGACAGTGAAGCCATGATCTTGTCTTCTCTTCTCTTGGATTCAGAAATAGTATCTCAATACTCTCAATAGGACTGGTATTCGATATGAGAACAAGTAGTACCCGAGAAGAGAGACCAAAATCGACCTTATATGCTGCAACTGTATCTCCCTATCAGAGATGCAGTTGTTGTCAGTTTGTGTAGGTTACAACTGCCTTTTATTTGAATTGATAACCACCTTTAGTTTTCCCTCTAATATAGAATTAATCCGGTGTAATTCATATAATTGAGTCCTTACATAATACAACCCTTTCACTTGTATATCTGCACTGTGGTTTAAATGACACTCACATATAAGTCATTCTTACAAAGGGAAGGAAAAAAAAAAAGAGGAGAGAATCCTACTCCGTAGCAGTCTCCCTTATTGGGTGGAAGGATATTCCCTTGGTAGAGGATCTTATTATAGGGTTATTTTATTACTTAGTTATTTTATTTTATGTTATTTTATTAAGATGTAGGTTTTCTTGTTCTCAAGAAATTAGGTTTACTTATTCAATTACGCTTGTGTCTTATTCTCTATAAATACCTTCTTATGTGGAAGAATAAAGATGCATTCAAGTTTGAAATACTTTGTTTAACTCATGAATGGTCAAGTTTAGTGAGAGGTCCACGTCCTACAAAGTAGATCGTGATGCCTTCATGTGTCCAAGCTGTCTACATGAGTGCTCGACAAGATTTGATCCTTTAGGCCGGATAGTTGTGGGCTATCACTATTCTTCAGTGAGTTAGTCTGCTTAGTCCATTATAGTTGAGAATCAGGTCTGTTCACGCCATCAAGCATACCTATATTGAGCTCATAATCCACGTGATCCACTCTATAAGTGAGCGTGGTTAATTTATGTTTCCACAGTTCTTATACCGTTCAAGTCAAGTTGACATCCTTGAAATTTATTTTCCACTTTCAAACATTAAGTTGGAGAAAATTAAGAATCTAATTACTTAAGAAATATAAACAACCTATATCAAACTCTTCTCCCGACTTTGATTCATAAGTTGCTTAAATTTAGGTTAGATTTACTCACGTAAGCAACAGACTTCATATTCACTCATTCTATTATGCTTTAAATGAAAACTTGTTAGGTCAGATTCAGAGGCTATATCGATAGATTTTGAGAAAAAAAAAATATTTTCAAGACGATGAGCTCGATCTAATTATAATGGCTGACTCATTGAATAACATATCCAAATCTTTCACTTGTTAACGCAAAAATAGCATAATATAAAATAAAATACAAACATGTTGTGGCCTATATTTAACTGAGGGGTGTGGCATGGAGAGAAAGAGAGTGGAGAATGGACTTGAGGAATTGTGTATTAATTCCCCAGTCTTTGTGCCTTTATTTATAGTAATAAGGATGAGAGAAACTTGCTCTCCAAGTAATACAAAGTCTATTAGCAAAGATCTTCTAGATCCCGAAGGATTCCTAATCTATCTCTACTTAAGATTTACACAACAACAACATGTATTAGAACATATGTCACAACATTCCCTCTTGAGTATGCAAATACTCAAGTAGATGGCGCATCAGATCTTTAGGAAAATGTAGAAGCAGTTGATGAAGTCGTCTCGTTTAGTCGGCACAAGTAGCGAATGCGAGTCTAAAAAACAAATGGAAGAATGCATGGGTGGTAAAACTCATAAAACCTCGCTATGGCAAAACCCAAGGTGGGACAAAAATCCATAGCTAAAGGAGAAAAGTGAGAAGTTGCATTAAGTCAAAACTATACTTTAGGACGCAAGTAGAGCGTACACAAGAGTATGACCAACCTAGGATGGGTGCCTCGTCAAAACCTAGTCAGGTAGCAAAAACCTAGTGATAAAAATGCTCCTAATTGTAGAGAAAAAAAGTACATTAAGGTCAAGTGAGTATACTTCTGGATACTTCCCCTGAGTTTGACAGAACTTCCAAATAAAACTACAAGCTTCGCAAGTGAGAAAGTTATGCATACCAATTCTTCGAACAAGCTTTTGGAAGGTAAACTTCGGTAGTGACTTCGTGTAGAGGTCGGCAAGGTTGTTTGGGATCAGACTGCTTGACTTCAATCTTCGAATGCTCATGCTGATGTAGAGACAATATGCTTGGCTTTAACTTGTAGGATGTATCATGATCTGGTCAATACATACGGCGTTGTCTTCATTGATCATTATTGGGACTCAACGATAGATGAAAATCACATGGACTTTGAATATGCTTTGTTGATGCACAAAACCGGAAGTCTTGGAACAACGTAAATCCGACCGTGAATCTGCAAGAAAGTAAATAACACAAGATGTATCATGGTTCACCCCAATGTTTAGGCTACATCCACAATGATTATTGTATTTCTCTGAGAGGATTGAGAGGGAGAGAGCTTCTGTAATGTGAGAATGAGGCTATCTGAATGTGAGGGAGGTTGTGAGGTGAGAGTGAGGCTTCTGGGGATGAGAAAGCTTGCCCTAATTGTGAGGGTGAGGAGTCCCTTTTATAGAATAAGGGCTCATCACTTATTACATATTTGCCCCTTCCTTTATTACATAATTACATTTGAGTCCCCCGAGTATTTATACGAGGTCTAAATATGGATGCCCTAAGTATGGTATAAACAGTAGTCCCCCAAGTCTTCAGTCAAGAAAGTATTTTGGCTGGAGACTTGAAATTCAATCCATGTGTGGGCCGAAGTAACTAGATGTTGTCTAAAACTGATACTCGATATGAGGCGGTGCCCAATCTGAAATGACACTCAACTAAAAGTAGCACATGTTGCGAGGCTGTTCTGCTTGTGCCTTATGTTGCCTTGGTTGGCTCGACTTGTGGCGTTGAAGGTGAGGGAGTCCCTTTTATAGAATAAAGGCTCATTTCTCAATACATAAATGATGGGCTAGAGTTGATGCTCGTGGCGAGGCGGTTGCTCAGTAGGCGATGATGCTCTCTAATGATGGTGAGAGAGTCCCTTTTATAAAATAAGGACTCGCTCCTTAATACATAAATGCTGGGCTAGAGTTGATGCTCGCGGCGAGGCGGTTGCTCAGTAGGCGGTGATGTTCTCTAATGATGGTGAGGGAGTCCCTTTTATAGAATAAGGGCTCGCTCCTCAATACATAAGTGATGGGTTCTTTCTAATGAAAGTGAGGGAGTCCCTTTTATAGAATAAGGGCTCGCTCCTCAGTACATAAATAATGGGCTAATTCTCCTAAGTATTTTTCATAAGGCCCAGTTGAGGCCCAATATATGGTACATAATGTAGTCCCCCAAGTCTTCGGTCAATAGAGTCTATTGGCTGGAGACTTCAAATTGGATCCATGTATGGGCCGAAGTGGCGGTTGTTCGGAGGCAGTATTTGTATACCCTGCACTAAAGCTTTGTAGGTGAAGCTTTGCAAGTGAAGCTTTTGAAGCTGGAGCTTTGTAAATGAACCTTTTGAAGCTGGAGCTCTCGAAGTTGGAGCTCTGTAAATGAAGCTTTCGAAGCTGATTGACATGAGTGATGCTCATGAATGTTTTATGTTGATTGACATGAGTGATGCTCATGGATGTTGACATGAGTGATGCTCATGAATGTTGACATGAATGATGGTCATGAATGTTTATGTATGATTGACATGGGTGATGCTCATGAATGTTCATGTATGAATGACATAAGTTATGCTCATGCCGAATTATTTTGGAGTACTGGGCGTACTTTTGATCATCTGGTGAGTGATAATAGAGGGCCTGACTCTTTTGGGCATATGGGCCTTTGCCCTCCACATAACATTCTAGCCCATTATTTTGGGCTTTTAGTTTTTTTTTTCTTTTTCTGATGGGGTTATATAGATGTCTCCGAAAGATAATAAAAATAAGGGTAAAAGACTGTTTACTACCCTCATGTTCCATAGTTTTCAACATTTAGTACATCAAGTTTTTTTCGTATCAGAGTCATACCTAAAGTGTAAATTTTGGGACAGTCTCATACATCCGTTAGTCAAACTGTTAAATCTGCTGTTAATTGTGACGTGGCGCCCATGTGGACAATGAATGGGCGCCACGTGTCAGCCACGTTTTTTTTTTTTTTTCCTTTTTTCTTCTTCTTCTTCTTCTTCCTCCGACTGCAACTATTTTTTTTTTCTTCCTCCTTCTCCTTCTTCCTTCCTCCTTCTTCCTTCCCCTTCTTCTCCTTCTTCCTTCTTCTTCCTTCTCCCTTATCCTTCTCCTTCTTCTTCCTTCTCCCTTCTCCTTCTCCTTCTTCTTCCTCTGAATCTGGGGAAGTTTTTTTTTTTTTTTTTTTTCTTCCTCCTTCTTCCTCCTTCTTCCTTCTTCCTTCTTCCTTCTTCTTCCTTCGAATCTGCCCAAATTCGGTTTTTTTTTTCTTTTTTTTCTTCTTCTTCCTCCTTCTTCCTTCCCCTTATCCTTCTTTTTCTTCTTCTTCTTCCTCCAAATCTAGGGAAGGTTTTTTTTTTCTCCTTCTTCTTTCTCCTTCCTCCTTCTTCCTTCTTCATTCCTCTTCTTCTTCTTCTTCTTCTTCTTCCTCCGAATCTGCCCAAATTCGGCTTTTTTTTTTCTTTTTTTTTCTTCTTTCTTTTTCTTCTTCTTCTTCCTTCGACTGCAACTTTTTTTTTTCTTCTTTCTCCTTCTTCCTCCTTCTTCCTTCTTTTTCTCGTTCTTCCTTCCTCGTTCTTCCTTCCCCTTCTTCTCATTCTTCCTTCTTCCTTCTTATTCATCTTCCTCAAAAAAAAAAAAAAACCTTCATCTTCCCCAGATTCGGAGGAAGAAGAAGGAAGAAGGAGAAGAAGGGGAAGGAAGAAGGAAGAAGGAAGAATGAGGAAGGGGGAAGGAAGAAGGAGAAGAAGAAGGAAGAAGAAAAAAAAAAAACCGAATCTGGGCAGATTCG